AATGAAGCCCATCTTTCTCTGGAAAACAAACAAATAAACAAGAAACCAACCAACCAAACAAACAAACAAACAAAAAAAAAAAAAAACGAAAGAAAATGAAAATGAAGAGACCATGGGTCCAGTAGGGCAGGTTGGTTTGCCGACTAGAAGAGCCCATGATTCAGCCAACCAGAGTACTGGCTCATCGTTTCTGCTACCTTCCCCAGAGCTGTCGCCTAGGAGTCTGGCTGTACACCCTCAGACTTAGATTATCGGTCAAGATATCACTTCTGACGTTGTAACACTTGCTGAAACCCGAGGTTACACACTTAAGGTTTCCAGATGACATCATTTCCTCATTACAGGAACTACAAATGTGAGCTGCTACTTCAATGAAATATTTTACATATCATACAGTTCATCCCTTATTTTCCCCCTTGGGCTGGAAGATAGCTCAGTGATTAAAGCACTTGCCGAGCAAGCACCTGAATTCGGATTCCCAGAGCCCGCATAAATGCTAGGTGGGCATGACAGCCTACTTATAATTCCAGGAGAGACAAGGGATCCTCATAGCAAATGAGCTAGCAAGACTAGTCGTATTGGTGAGATCTGGGTTCGATTGAGAGGCCCTGCATATACATACATGCACACACACACATATAAATATGTATTTTCAGATACACACACTATATCTGAAACTCCCTCTGTAGACCAGGTTTGCCTGGAACTCAGAGCTCCACCCACCTCTGCCTCCTGAGTTTAATCTCCTTCTGTGATTAAAGGCATGTACCACTACACCTGGTTATATGATATTATATTGTACAGATATACTACATTTTTATCCCTTCGATGGATATTTGGATTGTTTGCCTTGGCTATTGTGTTTCCATTGTTTAGCAATTATGAATAATTCTGCAGTGAACATTGTGAACAAGTTTTTCTGTTAAAATATATTATCATTTCTTGAGTCTGAACCTAAAAGGTGGAACTATACAATAACCCACTGAAACCAGCGTTCTGGTATTATGGTAATGGTTACGGTGTGTTTAATCATCCCGAGAAGAAGGACCATGTTTTCCTATTTCATTTATGGTGCTGCCCACCAAAATGTGAGGATTCCAGACACTACATCCCCATCAACACTTTTGTTTTTGAAACCTCCTCATAGCTACCCTATGAAAAGTGGCGTCTCATTGTGGTTTTGATTTGCATTTCCCTGGTGACTAATGATGTTGAACATCTATCTCCTCACATGCTTACTGACTATCTGTATCGAATTTTCTGGGGAACTGCAACCTCAGATCTTGTACCCATTTAAAAAGCTTGGTGCTCTGATTATTCGGTGCATCACCTCTTTAAACTGTACAAATAAATACCATAAATTATATAATCTGTGGGCAGTAAAACTCACCCAGAGAAGAGTGCTGTGCATGTGGTAGGAGATGTGGAAGGGAACATGGGTGAAGATGCCACAGCGCCTGTCGCCTCTGTTATTTCAGGACATTTGTGATATGGACTAGGTATTTTTATTTGATGTATTAGTTTTAAAAACTCCTAAAACTCTTAGTTTTTGTCAAATATTAAATAAGATAAAATAATTTGATGCATGGTTGAATAAATTATTCATTGCAACAACTTAACATCATTATTTTCAGTGCAAATGCAGACAGAACCAAGACATGACAGCAAAATTCACCAATATACTCAAGCACAGCTAATTTGAAATTTTAACTCCTATGTATGCTTAATTATTGAAAACAAGTTGCAGAAGTTTACCTAAGCTCTCATTTGATAAATGAGAGGCCAGAACTACTTTTTCTTTCTGCAAAATTTGTTCTCTTGCACAATAACAATGACGAAAATAAATGGCACCAAATTTTTGGCAAGTCCCGTTTAATTCGGCATATAATTAAAATCTCATGTAGCCTTATTGGTTTTAGTATCCAGCAGAGAGAAAATATTGAAACTCCAAGAGATTTTGAATTAAATGGCTACAGCAGTTTTGTTTTATTAGTTCTGACTGTGTGAAAAAAAATCATAAGGACAACTTTGGAAAAACTGAGTTCTTTTAGAGCCCCAAATGACTTTTAAAACAATAAAACAAACTATAAACCCTACACAAGTGATATTAAAATTATGCAGTTCAAGAAATGTGGCCTTCACAAATGTGGTTGTAATCTTTTTAACTACAGCAAAGTGGACAGGATCTACCGGGGTCTGAAAAGCAGTGTTATACAGTTCCGCAGAATTAAGTGCTTCAGTTTGCTGGTGAGGATTATGTAGCTGAGTTGGAATGTCAGAATCAGTGCCTCTAAGGTCTCCACCCACTTTCCAGGGGCTACAGCAGAGCAGGACGGATGCACCTTTTACTGGCAATTATTTAACAAGCGGCTATTTCCCCAGCATCTTAAGCTTTACTTCCAGAGGTTTACAGATTTGGGTCTTCTTGGCTGGTAGCTGCAACAGACTAAACTCGAACCCTAAACCAATGTATTCCTGAGGAGGAGAATGAACAAACCATTGGGAAATATTCCACGAGCAAGAATAGTTCCCTGCTAGTTCTTGGGTATTCAATTTCTGAAGACACATTTGAACTTCAAATAATACTGGTCTTTACTTAATCCAATGGAGGTCTCTCTTTTCATCTTTTCTGTTTGTTTTGTTTCATTTACAGACAGAGTTTCTCTCTGTAACAGCTCTAGCTGTCCTAGAACTAGCTCTTGTAGACCAGGCTGGCCTTGAACTCACAGAGATCCACCTGCCTCTGCCCCTAGAGCGCTGGGACTAAAGGCGTGTGCCACCACCTTTTTTTTTTTTTTTTTNTTTTTTTTTTTTTTTTTTTTTTTTTTTTTTTTTTTTTTAAATGTGGGGTCTGGAGATTGAGGTCAGGTCTTCAGGTTTGCAGCATAGGGAGGCAATCTTTCATAGGCTGAGCCATCTCACCAGCCTCAAATATTTTATATTTGCTCTGGCATTCCTCCAGTTTTCCTATCCGCCATTCCTTTATTTTACTTGAACTCAATGGACTTAGAAATTGTCATAATTTATTATATACTTTCTGAACCTCATTATTGTTGTGTATAACGTGTGCCATGGCAAGTGTATGGCAGGTAGAGGATAACTGTGAATCAAAACTCAGGGTCCCAGCTAGCACCTTGACGATGTACTTTTGAAGCTTAAGTCGCCCCAAGTTGCCCAAGGGAACCCCTTTGAGTTGTCTGTTGTCTTCCCACGGTGTCTGGCACAAGATGTTTTGAAGCTCACCAGAAGCACACATGGTTCAGTTCTCCAGGTCTTCATAATTATTCTCTTCCAGCCCCATCCCTCTCTTGATGGGGAGTCAGCGTTAACTCTGTTACTTTCCTTCTTCGTTCACGTAACAGAGTGAACACATGGAGATATAGTCTTCCTAGCTCTCAAGGTTTTAACTCAAATAACAGCGCTTCATACTCGGTGGTTTGTCTGTGCTTGTAGCTTTTGTCTGTCAATTATTCTGAAAGGTGTCGGTGACTCCATCCCCAAGCAGTTAGGAAACTTTATGGCAAGTCTCAAACGTTTCAGATGAGAAAAGCCCAAGGCAATAAACTGACCCAGGCTGCATTAGGTACCCGCTCACAAGCGCTGTTCTAACACCCTAGGCTTGTTGACACCTACTTATCTTCCAAACATCATTTCCTTAGGGAAGACTTTCCCTTTCCTTTCTCAAAGCGACTCTCTCCTTTCCCCAAAATTAGGGGTTGTCCCCTAAGGTTTCAGACCATTCGGCACGATTTCTCCCTAGTATATATGTTACTATATTTATATATTCATTTTCTTCCCTGCTTCCATGAGGGTACGGACTACCTCTCTCGTTTGCTAATGACACACAGTAGTAGTTCAAGAAAAAAATGTGTGAAGTGAAGCTCGAACCCAGGTCCTCCATCCAGCTACCCAGTTTCCCCCCCTCTTTTGGATCAGTCCCGTAGCAGCTGAAGATGGAATTCCAAAGGGTAAAATTTAAAATCTCAATAGAAAAAAGTCTATTAATAAAAAACCTTAGCAGAAACTACCCAACTTAAGGTGTGGTCACCGCAGGAGGACGTCAATCAAGAAAATGCCCCTTTGCCCCAGAGGCGAGTGAGGCCGCATAGGCCCGAGGCCACACTGAGCAGCGCGCTACGACTTTCAATAGAAAACACGTGTAAAACCTCAGAGCCCGGCTGCGCACAGCTGTGTCATTCAGGGCCCCGGGACAGAGGTCTCCTCCCGCTTCCCATAGGATCGAAGACTGCACAGCCTCTGCCGGGCGCCGTAAGATCCAGGTCTTGCCTTGATTCCCGTCGGGAGCAGATTCTGCCAGCAACGAGCGGTTCCCAGGTGGAGAAATCTGGAGCACCTGCAGCCTTGCCTTCAGTACCCGTCTGGGACGCAGCCAAAGGCTAGGGTCTTCTCGTTAGAGCTTTCAGTAGCAGAGGGGCCCGCACTACACAGTGCCACCGTTACCCCAAGGAGCGCAGCCTCCGGGGAGGTTGCTCTGGCGTGCCAGAGGTGCCCTCCTGCCGGCGACCTCCTGGCCAGCCGAGTCCCAACGCTCCTCCGGGGGCCAGACGCTGCCTGAGTTTCCGCAGTGGCGCCTTCCCGCTGGGATCCGCGTTCTTGGCACACGCCTTGTGCTCACCTCTTCGACGGTCGCAGTCGGACTCTCGGTGCCTGGCACTCAGGGGGACAGCGGGACACCCTGGAGCAGGGTCCCCAGAGCTCCGCGGCCCGCTTGTCTCGGGGGCGGGAGCTGGGGCCGACGGGGGCGGGTCGGGCCAGGGGCGGAGGCGAGTCCGCGGCCCGCGCCATTGGCCGCAGGGCCTGGCGGCAGGAAGGGACCCGAGCGCGGCCCCACCCCGAGGCTGCCAGAGCCTATCGCCGGGAGCGCGGAGCGCAAATAAATGTAGCGCGGTGGCGCGGGCCGGCAGCTCTGTCCGTGGGGCTGCGGTGCAGCCATGCAGTTCCCGCACCCGGGGCCCGCGGCTGCGCCTGCCGTGGGAGTACCGCTGTACGCGCCCACGCCGCTGCTGCAGCCCGCTCACCCGACGCCCTTCTACATCGACGACATCCTGGGTCGCGGGCCCGCCGCGCCCACGCCCACCCCCACGCTGCCATCTCCCAACTCCTCCTTCACCAGCCTCGTGTCCTCCTACCGGACCCCGGTGTACGAGCCCACGCCGGTCCACCCCGCCTTCTCGCACCACCCCGCCGCCGCGCTGGCCGCCGCCTACGGTCCCGGTGGCTTCGGAGGCCCTCTGTACCCCTTCCCGCGGACGGTGAACGACTACACGCACGCCCTGCTCCGCCACGACCCCTTGGGTAAGGCGACCGGGGTCTGCGGGGCCGAGCGCGGGCGTCCGTGAGGAAGGCGGGGTGGCAGCGCGCGGGTGGCGGCGGGGACGGACGGGAGCTGCAGGAGAAAGTTGCGGAGAAAGCTCTGAGCCGGCGACTCGCGGGTGCGCGCGGGGACAGGAGGCGCGGGGGCCCCCGGTGGCGCGCTGCAGGCGCTGGGACGCTCGGCGACTCTGATTGCTTTCCCTGCACCTTGCAGACATCGGGGCGAGCGAAGTCGGGAGAGGCCTGGGACGCCCGGGGTAGTAGTGAAAGGCAGCCCTGGCCACGCGTGTCGGCCCGGGTGGGGCTCCCTTAGCGGGAGACACCGGGAAGAGGACGTCGGGGCGCCCCGAGCCTGGCCCCTGCAGCGCAGGGATAGCTGGCGGGCCGGGCGGTTCCTGGGCTGGGCTTGGTTCAACAAGCTTGTGTAGTGAAGGAGCCTGACCCTTTCCGTTCATACAGGAAATCTTGAGTTCTCGATAGGAGTAAATCTGGTTTCTGAAGCTGTTAAGTGTTTTCCTGGCTGCATGAAGCAGACCCTTCCCCCGGAGTAGTGCACGCTGCTGATTATTTTATCGACATCCTCAATATAGACAAATTCAGGAAACACTCGACGTCTGATAGGCAGGATCCGTTTTTCTGATATTGTTCATTTCCTCTGTGTGGGATGTGACTTTATGGCAGCTAAAATAACCAGTTGCTTCCTCTCGGCTCCCCCCCCCCCACTTTGGAGGCTGTTTTGCACTAGTCTGAAGCCTGACGCAAGCAAAATCTCGAAAACACAATGCCAGCTTTTAGAATGTTTAGGTGTAGGCCCGAAGACAGAAGGACGGAAATACGGACGCACCGCTACCACTTTGGAGTAGGAAGGTGAAGACCCCGAACAGTTAGGAAGGGCGGTGGAGACAACGCTGACTCCGTGGGGGTTTTCGGGGCTGGTCCCCGCAATGTTCTAAGAAATACATAAGCAACGGTGACGGAGTTCGGGGCCTGAGTCCCTCGTCGCCTGCGCGGTCCGAAGCCCCAGAGCGAATAAGGACCAGGGTTTAAAGTAAACACCCAGACAGTTTCACTGGGGGACCTAGGAGAAAATTAACATTTTAATGAATTAGCATTTTAATGCCAGCATTATTTTGACGTAGCCTCCAGCGCTCCCCTCATCTCACCGCTACCGGGATTCGGGGTGTGGGTTTTATATAATTTTGTAGTTTAAAAGTTATTGTATTTGTATTTTTAAAATTTCAACCTGCAGGGTGTGTGACCGGCGCCCCACTCTATTCCCTGTGGGGCAGGAACGGCCCTGGGGCAAACGTTTTCACAGAGATCGCCTTGGTTTCCTTGGGTTTCTGCTGGGCCTGAGCAGAAGGAAGCTTTTTTTTTTTTTTTTTTTTTTTTTTTTTTTTTTTTTTTTTTGAGACAGACCAACAGGAAACACATTGACGGAAATGTTGCCATAGCCCACGGGGTGGCTTTAACTGGCCGCCCCCGCAGGCCGAGTGTGAAATCAGAGGAGGCCGAGGTGTGCTCCAGCCACGATTGGAGGCCCCACTGGAGGCCTAACACGAGCGCCCTGCTAGCGCTTCTGTGCAACCAGGCCTTGGAAAGTGTAACAACCCCACTCCCCCCTTAAATGCGCACACTGGATCCTTTGCAAAAACTTGAGTACACACAAGAGCTGGTCGGTTAACGAAGAGCATTTTAAGCCCGGCAGGGCTTCTCTCGGGGTTGAGAAGATTTGTTTGCATTTAAGCCACAGGTGTGAAGGTCGGGTAGTGCGGGGTCTCGAGTGTCCGAGCAGGTTTGTGTGCTAATGCAGTTTAGCTGACTTTGTGAGGTGGTAGGGACTATTGAGTCCATCTGTACCCCTGAGAATGTATGGGTTGGGAACAGGTCTGCGTTTTGGTCTCCCGCCTTGTGTCACCTGGGACCAAGGTAGGTCTGGGGACTGCCCAGAGGACTCTAGCGCCGTGGTTCACCCGCCGTTCTTCTGGCCCACAGGCAAGCCCCTGCTCTGGAGCCCCTTCCTACAACGGCCCCTGCACAAAAGGAAAGGCGGTCAAGTGAGGTTCTCCAACGACCAGACCATCGAACTGGAGAAGAAGTTCGAGACTCAGAAATACCTCTCCCCGCCTGAGAGGAAGCGTCTGGCTAAGATGTTGCAGCTCAGTGAGAGACAGGTCAGCCCGCGGGGTCCCACAACCCCAGCTGGTTTCTAGGGCTGAAGAAACCACGGTGCGGTGCGCTCTGCTTCTACCCAACTGTAGAACTGATTCTCGCCATATCCCCAGTCCCTTCTCCGCTCCTCCCCAGGTCTCTTGGGATCTGGAACCTGTCTGTAAACTTGCTTTCTTTTCTGTAGGTCAAAACCTGGTTTCAGAATCGACGCGCTAAATGGAGAAGACTGAAACAGGTATTGACAGGGCTCCGTTTCTATGGAAATAAATGTTTGTATCATGTTATCTAAATGCGGAGACCTGTTATGGGTTGTATGCAAAAGTCATTTGAAGAGACTATTTAACCTCTTCACCTTGATTAAAAAGGCAAATAGTCCTGCTGAAATTCAGGACGAGTTGCTCAGGTGGCACTAACGCTAAAAGCACCTAATGCAGTTCCTATATCAATTAGCCAGGGTTTCACACACCGGCCAGTAAACCGCCTGGCTAATTGTTTTATAAAGCCCATATGCTGTTTATCTCATTAACGCAGGAAAGATAAAGTAATTGACAGTAAATGACTTAAGTAGTTATCTTTGGGAGAAAATTGTTTCTTTTATTTACACAGCCATAATAAAACCAGGCAGGATTCAAGGGTAAATATAAAGACACAAACACCTTTAAGTCTTATTTGCACTTTTTGAAAAGGAAGAATTAAATATCAAAGAGTTTAAAAGTTATTATCCATCTTTGCCAGCTCTTAAAATGAATATAAAACGCATAAAGAAATTGCCAGGCCTATTTGGAAAGTAGCTTAAACTTCCTAAGGAGTCTTTCAATAACCCTTGTTAAGAAATATACAATTAAAAAAAAAAGTAAAGGGAGCGTCCCCAAAAGCTACCCTGCTGACTTAGAGCTAAAGGTTTGTTTTTGAGGTCCCAGACGGGGTGTTCCCAGTTCTCGGACAACCGCTGATGACTCCTGTACACCTGGGCTTTAAATAAGACAGGATGGCTTGAAACGAAATGGTTTGCCAAGTGGGGAAATTCAGTGTAGATCTTAAATTGTATTGATCACACTTTATATTTAAAAAGAAAAAAGATGCTAAAAAAGAAAAAAAGGACATTTTGAAACAACAAAAAGCTTCCTGTAGCTTTATTATTCAGAAGTAGTTGAGGATTCTCCTTTCATCACTGACTTAGTATGGCTTCTGCAGACTTGCTCGCTGAGGAGTACAATGGTTCTCTCTAGTGTTTGTATCCTTATTAGACACCCTCAAGCTTAAACACTCACTGGCTGGACTTGGTTCTTATTCAAAGGCTTGGAGCTCATTTCCCAATGACTTTTAAAATGGCACTTTCTATGAAATGTGGGAAACTTTTCCCCCAGGAAATTTTCCCTAGATTTTAAGCAAATTGCAGTCACTTCATCAATATTATTTGGTCCTGTGATTTTTCTTTGTCATGATCTTGAGATTTGGTACATAGTTATGTGTATATGTGCTCACAAATTACTTCAGAAGACCAAGAGAAAAGGATTTTAATCTATGATTTCGAAGCTTCTTAATTTAGTATATGTTTTTCTTTTTCTTTTCTTTTCTGGGAGGGGGGTGGGCCTTGGTATAACAAACCAGCCATTAACATTTGTTCTCTAAAATGCTAGAAAATGCGTTGAGGGCGATATTTAGAGAGCGAGGACAGTGCAGCCTGGACTGAACGGAGTTTGTTTTTTTCTCCTAAGCTGAAAGTCTTGAGATCATGGACCTGAGTTACATATAATCTCTCTCTGATGTGACTTCTCCCTCTAATTTCGAATGGGGACAAGAATCACAAGTGTGTCTTCTTAGGAAAGAGATTTTAGATGAAAACAGTTGATAACCTAAACTTTGTAAGCAAGCTAAAGGCTGGGGGGGGGGGGAATCCATTTTGATTTTTATGTCTTTGATCTCACGTCTGCATTTTCATTCCTTTCTTTCAGGAGAACCCTCAAAGCAATAAAAAGGATGAGTTGGACAATTTGGACGCTTCCTGTGGCCAGGGCCAGGACTCGCCCAGTGAGCAGAGTAAAGGTGCCTCTCTGGATACTTCTCAGTGTTCACCTTCCCCTGCTTCTCGGGAAGACTCCGAGATCTCAGAGGATTCGGACCAGGAAGTGGACATTGAGGGTGACAAAGGCTACTTTAATGCTGGATGATGGTCACCGGCATCGTCCAGAGACTGGACCTGCGGATAATGTTTTTCTACAAACTGGAAGACTATGGGAGAGAAAACGAATGTCATTCTTGTAGTGTTCTGAAACTGTTTAGTACACTGGCATAATTAACAAATATGCATTGAAACCTTAATTTTGACTTTACAGATCCTATATATATACATATATATGTATATATACACACACACACACCAGTTTTAAGTTGCTTTGATGAAGTGGCTTAATGTATCCCCATTAATTTCTATTTATGAGAAGTAATTTGAACTTTCATTTAAAACTTAAATTATAACTTTAAAGGTTTTAATAGGCTGTGCTTGAATGACTTTTCCTAAATCTGTGGCCATACCCTCAGACTTCAGAGGGTCACTTAGAAAGGGGGCCCACATTTGTGGCTTCTTGGAGCAGTTTAAAAGGACACACTCGACTTTTACATAACACCTTACATTGCTGCCTTAGCTCCAATGCCGTTCCTGAGCACCTGGCTCCAGGAGTGTGCTCTTATAAGCAAGATAGTTGATAAGGTTCTGAAAATCTTGTTTTGCTCACCCAGTGCCTTTGTTAAGGGATGGCACAGTCGGACAGTCAGGGAAGCCGACTCGACTCCTTTGTGACTGCAGGTAATCCCATGTGAACTAGAACTAGCAGGACAATTAAATGTAAGTAGATTGTAGATAGTGTGTTTTATAGAAACAATGTATAGCATGTATATAGAATTATTCCGTGTAAAAATCCTGCCAAAATGATGTTTGATTTTTTTTTAAAGAATTTTTTTACTTGATGAGTTAACTTTTGTGACCCTGTTGGAATCTCTCATTCTTTGCTTGAAAAGGCCTAAACACATTACTTGAATGGCTTTGGGGTATGTGTGTGTGTGTGCTTGGCACAGGGGTAGGGGGTAGGGGGCCCCATGGGCGGTGGGTGGGGTGCCCATCTCCTGGAGTGTGAATTTGAGTTTTCTTAGGAGTGTTAGCTGGAGCAGATGTGTGTGTGTTGGGGACTGAGCATGGCAGGTTAGAGCCGCTATGAGCACCATCGATTGGTGTGAGGCCACTGGCCTTGACCAGCATGAGTCAACAGTGCGTCACCCTCACTCTGTCAGGAGCCGAGCTGCTGTGCTTTGTGCGGGGCAAGGAAGGGTTTGGAGGAGCAGGAGATTTAGAAACTCTGGGAACGTGAAAGTCAGCGGCCTAGAGAGTGATAGCCGCTGCTCTGAGGTGCTAGCCGGTGTGAGACCCACGGGACCAGCACTCCGCCTCATATTACCCCCCCCTCCCCACAGGTTTCCCTTTGGTAACTCCGGCCAGTGTTGGGGGACAACAGCCAGAAGCAGGAAGCATCAGGAATCTGATGGCTGGGAAGAGTGCTGACAGGCGGGTGCAGCCCTGGGTATTAACCTGCAGTCTAGAGAGCCCAGGTCTGACAGGCCTCCTACAGAGACCTGAGGAGAGGCCCAGCTTGGCCTCTGTGGAGTCTTTTAGTGGTATAGGAAAGAGCCTGTGGTGGGTTCTCACACCCTGCCTCCTGAGAGTCCAAGAAGGTCATGGAATTGCGGGCGAATCGGGTTTCCAGAAAATACTCAGCACTGACTGGTCCTTTGGCAGAGGGCAAGCGTAGGCCTGGGCGCTTAAAGGTCTACGTTGTAATTTTAGTTCTTTGTCTCAGAACTTCGAGAGAACGTCCCAATTGAGCTACGTGACCGGCTCCAAGTCCCTCAGTCCCAGCTCAGTTCATGCTCTGCACAGCCCTGATTCTCCCCTCGCCTGGGTGTCAGAGCCCAAAGGAGCCATCGAGACGGGGAGTTTTGTTTCCCAACAGCGGCAGGCCCCTAGTTCTAGACCTGCCTAACAGGTTGCATGAAGTTTCAACGGCCATAGTCGGTTTGCTCTGAAAGTGGGACTGCCTGTATCCACGTTCTGGAGAGTGAGGCATTTGAATGGAATTAAAATGATCCTGAAATCTCTGTGTTTCATTGCTGGAGATAACCTCTGGGTAATGTTTACTCGCGGGAGGAACTGGATCGCGACTGCTAGGCAGAAGGTCAGCAGCTTCTGTATTGATTGACACTAGAAAAAGCTAAGGGGTGAAATCTTGTTTTAAAGTGGACAATTCGCTGAAAGTGTGCTGTTTTCCCATTGGAAGCTAGCCCAGGTTCCCTTCAAGTCGCTCAGGTTCTGATTCTATACATGCCCTTAAGACTTGAGCATGTTGGTTGGAGGAGGCACAGCCTTCTCAGGACTCAGGTTAGCATTAACTTTTCAGAAGGTGCTGTTACAGACTGCCCATGGATATTTACAAACTCTTCCTACAATCCAGACATTTTTTTTCCGCCTTGTTTGTCCTTTGGCTGTTTCACGTCGGAGCAGCATAGATGACCTTTATGGCACAGCTCCTGTCTTGTTTTTTAACTCTTTTTTTTTTTTTAATCAGGAGATTCAACTTGAAAAACGGTTATCATTTAGCAGAAAGGCAAACAGAAAAGCACATTTTTGTAAGCAAAACGTTAATGATTGGAAGAATTGTCCTAATTTCACCATGGCAGTGTGTGATTAATCCCCTGGGTCGTGTACTTATACTTTAAGTTATTCAGTTCATTGCTCTTTGATATCCAGAATGCTACCTAACTTAATAGGGTATTGATCTCGCTGGATGATGTACTTTGACTCTTTACACAACATCACTTTTGAGGATGACTAGTCTGTTGCGTACTATTTTATTTAGAGAACTGTTGCGTAAGATTTCTTTTTTCTTTTTATGGTTTTGCTCAGGGTGAAAACTGATAAGACATCTTGTGGGAAAAGCGGAAACCATCGCTGATAGTGAAAGTACCTGTTCTCTCTCAGCATCTCTGACGAGCTCTTTCGTTTGTGGTCTTATCACTGTGAATATTCAGCTAGGTTAAAATGTGGACAGGACAAGGATTAAAGAAAAACGTCTATTTCGTTTCGGGGGAAGTGCCCTTAACTAGGGATGGAAAACTCCAGATTTTCCACTCTAGCCGTACTGCCTGTGGAAATGATTTCTCTTTAAAATCCTGTAATTTGTGATCCAGTGAATCTGTGACCGGAGGTTTTATACACACACACACACACACACACACACACACACACACACACACACGGAACGACAGAATGTGGAACACCAACACCAGCCACCCTGGATGCCATCATGTGTATAGGAGCTTGTTATCTTGTGGTCATGATAATCACACACTGTACTAACATTTACTCTTCATCCGCTGGGTTTTTTTGAAACCCCAGGTGGACTCTGTAAGAGCCCAGTATAAGTTTGTTCCTTGATTTTTTTTTTTTTGGTATTGTTATCTAAACACAGAAGCACTTGGCAGATTCCTTATCATAACTTCAAGGTCCACAGAACAACAGCTTCTGAGGCGGCTTAGTAACCTGGAGGCAGGCAGGCGGGAGTCCCCTCCCGGCTGCCTAGGGATCTGTATTCTAGCCTCCAGCCCTTTGGAGGCCTTACTTGGGAGGAGGCATCTGTACCTGAAGCCCAGTGAACGCTGCAGCCTGCAAACCCAGGAGGCTAGGCCACAGCCCGAATCTTCAGAAGTTGGACACACAAATCTCTCCAGACTGAGCCGCTGTAGGAAGGAGAACTTGGAGCTGCCATTTCCTGTCTGCAGAGGATCATGACTTTGGAGCATCCGGTGGCCACCGCGAGCTTTTCGAGGCTGCCCACGGTTTTCCTGCACAGCGCTTATCTTTCTTTTCCCTTTTCTAGGGGGAAGGAGGAGGTCATTGATCACTTAGGGTCATTTTTTTTTTCAGATAAAAACCAGTGAGAATGGCTTTCTATTGTAGAAAGTTTAGTCAATGTGTTATTTTCCTAAGCCTCCTTTGGGATCCTTTTCATTTGAAAGGGGAGTGCCATTACAAAAACAACAGCAACAATTAAAAGAAAAACCCTTAAGATATGCAGATGAACAAGTACAGAGGAACTAACAGTAAAGGGTCCCATCCCAACATTCAAAAGTGGCCTGTTGGGCCTGTCTCAACCTTTATATTTTTATATATTGTATAGCTTAATCATAACCTTCCATCTTTCCTCACACTTTCTGTTTTTGTTCTTATTCATTCTCCCACACCCAAGATGCTTTACACTCATTTAGTTTATTTTTCCATTAAGAACAGAAAATGAATAATCTCAACTCTTTAGATGTCAGTGTAAGGGGCCATGTTTTCTTGAAATTTGCATGAGCGTTCCTCTTTCGGCTGGGCTGAGAATGCCTTAGCTGTGTGAGGACTCAAGCAGTACCAGGGCCTTCCCAGAAGATCAACAGTAGCGGAGCTGATCACTTGGCACCCCTGGGGCACATGGATGCTTTGGAGAGGATGGGGCAGAGCCAGTCAGGGCTCATAATTTTAAGAAAGGAAACGGGATGCTGGCCCATAAAGAGGCTTGGCCAAGAAGTCAGGCCTGAAGGTGGAAGAGGGCAGGGAAAATGCACAACTTTTATCATCAAAGGTTTTTGGATTTCAGGATTTTGCTAAAGGATTGTAGACCCATGCTCTCCTCTGTTGTTTGCTTTTGCATGTGCAGTTCCTCTCCCTGGAGCTCCCTTCTGCTGGGTAACCTCATGGCTGTCTCCTGACATGCACCCTGAACCCAGCCATCCTGTGTATAGCGATCAAATCCTTTTCTCTATTTCACCTTTTACAACAGGACACATTTTCAGGAGATGGAGGCAGGGAAGCTGAGAGTTCATAGCCTTTCTGGCCTGCAGAATGTGTCATAGGCCACCCTGGGCAACTTAGTGAGACCTTGCCTCAGAAATAAGAAGTAAAAAGAGGGCGAGAGGCCTAGGTCCAGTCCCTAGCACCAGCAAATAAATAGTGTGAGTGTGAGTGGGTGTGTGTGTGTGCATGTGTGCGTTCATGTGTGTGTGTGTGTGTGTGTGTGTAAGAGAGAGAGAGAGAGAGAGAGAGAGAGAGAGAGAGAGAGAGAGAGTAACCATGGAAGGCTACATATCAACTCTTGATCCTCTGTGCTGGGATTACAAGCAGGAGCCGCCAAGCCTGGCTCAGGATATATATATATATATATATATATTTTTTTTTTTTACTGAGTTATTTCTTTTATGTCTCCACTGATATTAACTGAGAGTCAGGATTTTTATCTGTTTTTTTTTTCAGGGCTGTATTTTTCTATCCCTAAAAGTAGTAAGCATTTGGAAATTGTGATTCAACAAATGATGAACATGCGTTAGGGGTTATTACTAGTATTGCTATTGTTATTATTAACAGTCTCACTGTGTAGCCCTGGCTGCCCTGGAACTCACTATATAGACCAGACTGCCTCAAACTCACAAGGATCCACCTGTCTCTGTCTCCCAACTGCTGGAATGAAAGGCGCTCACCTAAATATCATGCAATGTCTGTAAGTGTTTCTATCCTCAGGACAGCTCTATGAGGTCATTCCTGTTATCAGCCTCCTTGTTTTCCAGATACAGAAACTGTCACAGAGAAGAGAATCCACAGGTCCCGTGTTCTCAGTCATTGCCACCGGAGGAATCTCAACATGCTGAGCCTTCCTTGCTTGTGTCTTCCTTCCTTCTTTTCTTTTTCTTTCTTTCTTCCTTCTTTTGTTGAGACATGATTACATGTAGCCCAGGATGAACTTGAACTGCTGGTCTTCCTGCCTTCATCTGCCCTGTGCTGGGATTACAGGTATGAACCACTACTCTAGGCTCGATTTGTAAGTGGAGTGGGTTTTTCTTTTTCTTTTTTCTTTTTGAGACAGGGTTTCTCCATGTAGCTTTGACTGTTGTGGAATTCACTCTGTA